TTTTTTTAATCGCGGCTTCATTCCCCTCTCCCGATCTGGCTAATCTACATGCCTCCGTCGAAGGAGGCATGTAGTCTAGACACACCCATAGTGTATAGAAATCATGAGTTTAAAAAAATTTTGGCTTTAAACATGATCCCTGCAATCACATACTGGGGAAGAACAAGTAGCACCATCTATAATCCTATAAAGAGGGAGATAAGGGAAACTGAGTCTGTTATTTTGCATGAGAGGGACTGTGACAGGCAGCAATGACAGAAAGTCAAGAAAGGACATGGAAAAGACAGATCATATGATTTTGCCACCTTCTGACAATAGTAGGTGCTGATATTCCAGGAGAGTCCCAGATCCAAGCAGCAGTACCTATCAGACTTTTTGACTAATTAGTTTAGTCAGTAATTTGGGTATATGGTTTTGAAATTCCATATTGTATTAATGTTGATTGTTAGTTGGCGTTATTGTTATATTTCTCTAGGGATGGAAGATTGGAAGGACTGTACCTTCAAGAGTCTCTGGAGAGCCCCCTGTGGTAGTTATGTTATGCAGAGGCTAATGTTATCCAATACTGACCAGTTAGAACTCAGACACTGATGAAAGCAGTCATCTGTCAGACTCCTTGGCTTGGAGACTAGAGTAATTACTGAACACCACAGTAGCCCTGGGCAGGAGATGGCCTATAGGATCTCTGCTATGGAGCTAGGATGATTGACACCACTTATCTCTACAAAACTAGACCCACTAGACAGGGCTTAACGTTCATTTTCTTGTCACTCATCCACTGGAAATGTATCTTACATTCAAATTTGGCTAATGTGGCCAAATCCAAGCTTAAAACTAACGGTTCTATTTTTTTTTCCCATCCAAATCTTCTGTAATATAAAGAGGCTGAAAATCCAGGAGCAGAAATACATTACAAATAGCCTTGGCAGAATTTATTTTTGTTTGTAATTGCAGTGGATAATATCAGTATTTACTTTTAAATGTTTTTAGATATTTTATTGATTCAAATTTTCACAAGTGTGGGAAACGATGGGGCTTTTACAGAATAATTATGTAATGGCAGTAGGCTATGTCTACACTCGCGGCTTCTTGCGCAAGTACGGCCGTTCTTGCGCAAGAATCTGCAGAGTGTCCACACTGCCCGCCTGCTCTTGTGCAAGCAAATTTACAGTATGGTGTGGTAAGAGGGGGATCCTTGCACAAGAGCTACGCTCTTTTTCGACAGGTGTAAGCCCTCTTGCGCAGGAGCTCTTGCGCAAGAGGGCAGTATGGACGCTCAGCAGGGATTTCTTGCGCAAGAAAGCCCTATGGCTGAAATGGCACAGCTCGCACATGGCAGTGTGGACGTTTTCTTGAGCAAGAGTTCTTGCACAAGAACACTTGCGCAAAATGATCTTGAGCAAGAAGCCGTGAGTGTAGATATAGCCCCGATGTTTAACTTTTCTGTAAAAGTTAAAGCTTTATTACTGGTAAAACACAAACTCTCAAAATTGTATTAGCATATACTAAGTAAATATTTTGAAGATGTTCTGAAGCAACATTTGCCTATCTGTACATTTCAATTAGTGTCAATGGAAGTCTGATTTTTGAAAAGTTTCTGTTTGGCAAAATTGGTGTTTATTGATTTTATCAACAATAATCTAATCTTTCTGAGCCTGAATACAGATAACATGAGTTCTTCCACCCTGATGTTATTTGTGTCATGGTTCTGTTGAAAGTCAAGGTGACATAAGCCTTTTAGAATTAACATGTGTATGATTCATGCTGATTTCTTTCAGCTTTCACTGAGGTATTTCCACTCAAGCTAGATTTCATTCTCTGCCAGCTCTTTGCTTAGGTTAGTTTGGGGATTTTCATGCAGCTTCTAGTGGAAATATAAGCTTTCGAAAGATTTCTTAATAACTTTCATATTACTGAATGATGCTGTCAATTGCAATGTTAATATCTTCAGAAAGTTCTTTTATTCCCTCCCAAAGGCAATAACTCCTGAAGTTCTTGTCAAAATGTCCTCTGTACTACATTTCTCCCTATGGCTTAAGAGCAATTTTTCCCCCTAAATTATATATGAACTCCATCAACTGTAGGGTGTCACAAAATCCATTGAAATAACTCATCAAAATAATAACAATTACAATTTAAATTGCAGTCAGAAGCTTATAAGGTACTTTTGCAGCTGGTGCACAATTTTTGGAGAAACATACACTGCCCTTCTTTACGCCTGTTTATCTATAATCCTTTTGATTGGTGCACCTATTTTGAGTTGTCTGGTTTCTTTAATGTCACCTGCATGGAGTAGGGATGCTTATATCTGTATAATACAGACATTTATAGTAATTGACTGACTGGCAAAATGAATTTCCTTGTTCTTGTTGAATTTGTTTCGCTTTCAATTCTATATACTCGTTCATTAGCATACCTACTGATTAGAAATCATAAATACTATTTTTAAAATTTAATGTTTCCTACAGCAATATTTGTTCAGCTAGCCACTGTTCAAATGTTGTCACATGAACCATATAGGTAACACTTTACAGAAATTATATTCAGTTTTTCCACAAGCCGCTAGTAGTGGAGATGAGGCCTCTAGTTTGGAGAAAAGAAGGTAATCCAAGGTTAATAATATTTCCATTTTAGCAAGAACATTATTATACATATGTTTAAAGATGTACAATTAAAACAATTACATTCATAGTATTAGCTTAGGATGTGGTGTAAGATGGGAGAAATTCTGGTCTTATGGACTTCAGAGGCAAAATTACCATTGACTTCAGCATGTCCAAGACTTCACTCGGTGATGCATTTTCTTAGTTACATGTTGCACAATACCATGTGTGATCAGAGGTTGTTATTACAATATTAATAGCAAAATGCTGGTGGAATTAAAATGATCCTTTCTAACATGACTAATATGGTACTCACTCAACACTTAAGAAGCATGGCAATGATATTTGCTGGGATATTAATATAATTTGCCTATCAGTTCTAAAGTTTGAAAATGTTTCATTCCATGTTAACATTTAAAAATCACCTGTGTTAGCTGGAAACCAAAAAAAAGCTATGTATTTATGAACAATGGTATAACGGTAAAATGAAAAATGTAAGTAAAAGCATTACCTTACTGGCAGAATCATTCTCTTTATGAGGCAAAGATGTGCAGATCTATAGATAGTCTGTGAATCAAAGGTCACTGTTACTGAGGTAGAACTTCATGTGAGTCTGTGTATGTGTTTGATATGGTAATATGTATGTGCTCTACAGAGCAAATGTCTAGTATTGTCCCCTCCCTGCTAAAATTTAACTCTGTACTGTACAAAATATGTTAGAGCCAGTTAGGAAATGTTATCTGTGGGGTTTCTCAGGAATTCTTTTTCCTGACTTTCATTGAGGATCTGTTTTGGTAGAAATTTTCTGTATAGCTTCAAAAGATATTCTGAAACATGAATAAGTATAGCTTTCTTTAAAGATTATTATGAATATTACAACATTTGAGGCTAATTTCCCCCAATACCAATATTTTTCTTCCACTCTCACAGTAAATAATGTCCTCCAAGTTTGCTGCCATTTCTTTCTTTCTTTCTTTCTTTCTTTCTTTCTTTCTTTCTTTCTTTCTTTCTTTCTTTCTTTCTTTCTTTCTTTCTTTCTTTCTTTCTTCAACACATCTAGGCTATGTCTAGACTGCAAGCTTCTTTTGAAAGAAGCTTTTCTGGAAGAGATCTTCTGAAAAAACTTCTTTCAAAAGAGCACATCTACACAGCAAAAGCGCATCAAAAGAGTGATCTGCTTTTTCAAAACATAGTGTCCACACTCATTGGACGCTATCTCACAAATAAGGCCACCCGGAACCACTTCAGGCAGAACAGTAGGTCAGCAGTTGCTTCCGGGTGCTGTTGCCCAAGGCTATCTGAGACATGTATTTAAAGGGACCCCCCTGGACAGCCATTTCTCTGCTTCTGCTTCATGCTTCCCTACCTCTCCAAGGCTATGTCTAGACTGCAAGCCTCTTTCGAAAGAGAGCGTCTAGACTGCATGTTGAACTTTCGAAAAAGCGGCTTGCTTTTTCGAAAGAAAGCATCCAGTGAGTCTGGATGCTCTCTTTCGAAGAAGCCCTATTTACATTGAAGAACGCCTTCTTTCGAAAGAGGAACTTTCGAAAGAAGGCGTTCTTCCTCGTGAAATGAGGTTTACCGCCATCGAAAGAAAAGCCGCGTTCTTTCGATTTAATTTCGAAAGAACGCGGCTTGAGTCTGGACGCAGGTGAGGTTTTTTCGAAAAAAGGCTACTTTTTTCGAAAAAACCCCTGAGTCTGGACACAGCCCAAGAGACAACAAAGCTTTAGCAGTGCATGCTCTAGTTGCCTATTTTTTGGACACCACAGTATACTCCTAGCGATGGAGCCAGAGCTGCCTCTGGGCATGCAATGGCCCCACACGGTTATGCTACAGATTCTGCAGCAGTTTCAGCAGACCGTCTTGACAGTCCTGCCCCAGCTCAACTCCAAGCTCATCAGTGAATCCCTCTGCCTGGATGTAGAAGCAATGCCCTTGCAACCACCCCCCATGGTGGAGAGACGATTCTGGAGGCAGGACACCAGTTCCGACTGGTGGGACCGACTGGTCATGGAGCACTGGGTGGACCAGCAGTGGCCCAACAACTTCTGCATGCAGAAGGCCATCTTCATGGAGATGTGTGCCTGGCTCGCCCCTGCCCTCTGATGATAGGACACCCACCTACGGCCCGCCATCCCCCTGGAGAAAAGGGTTGCCATTGCTGTATGGAAGCTGTCCACCCCAGACAGCTACCTGTCTGTGGGAAACCAGTTTAGCATGGGAAAGTCTACTGTTGGGGCCCTCCTCATGGAGGTAAGGCACTCTCAGGCTGCAGTCCTTGCCTACAGAGGGGGGCGAGGGGGAGAATCGTGGAAAGGGGGACCCTAGGGAAAGGAGGGGTGGTGGGCTGTGGGGGGGGAGGCGGGAGCGCTCTTTCGGAAAAAGGGTTCTTTCTCGTAGAAAGAGGGTTACCGCTGTTGGAAAAACCCCTCCGTTCTTTTACTTTTTGTCAAAAGAACACAAAGAAGTGTGGACGTAAGTGTATTTTTTTTTGGAAAAATGGCCATTTTTCTGAAAAAAAACTCTGCAGTGTAGGCATGCCCCATGTATAATCTTTCTAATAACTTATTGCCTTTTAGTATAGATGAATTTTATCTTAAGTTATAGTCTCAGGCCATACCTCATACTGATTGTGTTTAGCCAAATTGGAAACAAGCTTTCTGAAATTTGCATAAGTGATGCTATTTCTAAAAGAATAAAATGAATCTGGGCTGATTTAAATTTGACCAAATGTAATATGGTAACCTCAACATTTTCAAAGGAGTTGTTCAGCCTGGTTAAACACCACAGCTGTGAGAAAGTCAACAGTTCTGCCTCAGGGGGATTTGTTTACATTTTCTTCTGTTGAAGTCTGCATGGGTTCATATCCTCTGAATGTTTTTATTTAAATGGAAGCAAACATTCAAGCTCAATTCTGACCAAGCTCAAATCTGAGCATATACTACGTTGAACTAAACATTTCATGGGGTTCTGATTCAAAATCATATACCAGAAGTTGCCAATTATTTTTTGTTAAGGTCCACATATCATGGTCAAGTTACAGTCCATGTCCAGACCATACAGTAAATAATAAAAATAACAATAACAAGAATAATGACATAAAAAGATTATGGGATCTGCTCAAAAGCAACTGATGGTCTGGATTTGGCCTGATCTCTGCCTATTGACAATACTTGCCATAAGCTGTCCTGTGTTCATCTGCCCAAATTTTTGAACCTTAACTAACCTTCTCTCACACTTGACCCTTTGTAACACAACCCTAAAAGGCAAGGCTCGAGAGGCTTCAGTTTATTTTGCAAGTACTTTGCACTGTGGTAGCAGGCAGCCAAAGGCCGACATGGTTCCTTTACATGTATTTAGTTGGGACCCCATTCCATGCTTGCTTATTGTAGCTGAGGATATAAGGCAACTATTGTGTAGCGCGGGCTGTGTTCCTCACAAGGCAAGAAGAGGCACAATGTTTGCATATCTTGCATCCTAAGTGCGGAAACTCTTTTGTGTTTATTTCACCTGAATTCCACATGTCATCTATCACAGGTCATGGCAACCTGAATGACATGGCACTATAAAACTGTGGTGGAAAACACTCTGAGATAGGCTTTCATTTTATTTTGTCAGATTTCTCCTATATCTTCCCCCTGGTGAGATTAGAAATACACAGTGTGCACTATACCTTTCTCCTGGTGCTCTGCCACTCCAGTTTCCAGTCCTAGCAGATGTATGAAAATAAAATATAATGGGGGTGGGGAGTTTGAAATAAAAGTTTTTCAAACCTTGAAATGGGGCAGTCTGGCTTCAGTTCAAAACACTGGTAAAGGTTTGTGTCAGTTTTGCACAAACTGGCTCACCTGTTTGTAGTTAATAAAATCCAAATTGAAATCTTCCCTAGAGAAAACCAGGAGCTGTCTTCTAATTCTTCCCTCAGGGAAGCAGAAGGGGGAGCACATGGTGAAGTCTTTCCACTGTATATAAGTCCAGCTTGTATTGGGAAAGAAACAGCCCCATGGAAAGTCATACACTCTGCTTTTCCTGCCTCCAGGACTGCTTGTTATTCCAGTGCAAAGTAACCTCCTCAGGAGGTGCAGAACCAGTGCTAGTGGTATTTCAGATGGCTTTAATTTAAGCATCAGTTTAGTTGCCACATTCATTCTATAGATAGGGGAGAAAGCCATGCAAAGCAGTTTACCTGCCCTCAACTTACCCTCCAAGTCTCACGGAGCTCCTACATCCCATTGTTCCCATGGTGAAGACTCTTGAAGATCTGGAAAGGGTAGAGTAGGTGGAACGCTTGTTTGCTCTGACAGTTTGTCTAGCAGTGGCCAATACGAAATACTTCTGAAGGAAGAGGGCAATTATGGAACCAGAAAGCAAGTATCTTTCTAACCTGTATAGGACTACAACCAAAGGTAATATTAATCTTTCCACTGACTTGTATGCAATAGCAATTATCCCCTTAGTATTTTCACTTGTGCCCCAAAGTATAGCTATTTAAAATTATATCTGCACTTGCAGATAGGCCTGGCCTACCATAAGTAATTAATACCATGGGGAGAGGCCTCATTTTCTGGAAGATAAGGTTAGGGATGTACACAGATCATTACCGAAAATAGGATGGACATTTGTGCTAAGTAAGTTAAATAAATAGGTCAGTAGACTAAAAAAGACAGAATGTCTGAGATAGCTAAGATAAGAGGGAGAACACCCAGGGAACCATTTAGTTAAAACAAGATAAGTTAAGAAGGTAGAGATGAGATAAAGAATATGTTGCGTATGTAGAATGAGTATACTTCATAGCGACTGATTCCTGGAATGTAACTAAGCTAAGCAAAAATGTGCGATGCCATGTATATTAAATGCAATTAGATGTGTCATGTTGAAAAAAATGTTTGCTCCTACCTCTTGCAATTGCCCCACATGGTCAATGGTTTCTTTGGTGGGTTTTCAGTGACTCAGCCCTTCATCCAAGTTACGCAGGCTGTCTGTAGGTAAAACAGAACAAGCAAACTGCTTCCAGGGTATACAGTCTTCATTTTCCACTAAGGCTTTCTCCCTGGAGCCACCACCCTTTAAAACAGTCCAAAAAGGATCATCCATTGCTGGTGCCTTTATTTGGTAGCCCCATCCCTCCCAAGACTCCTTCTTTAGTCAGACCAATACCCATCATGGTACGCTCACTTGGTCTGGCTATGTTCTGGACTCAGTCCTTACTCTGTCCCTGCCTTGAAGCTAGACAGGAACTCCTTCTTAGCTCCCCCCAGATCTTCAGCAGCTCTCCCTGGGCTTAGCCCTGCCCACATTAAGTTGTCCATGATCTTGCTGCTCTTCCAGACTGCCAGGGACCTGGTCCTCTCTCTTCCAGCTCTGCTGCTTCCTTTATATGAGCATCCTGGCCTTCTGATCGGCTCTTTGCCTTGAAGCCAATTTAGGTGCCTAGAGGACTTCTCTTCTGCTCTCTTTTGGGGTGGTTGAGGCAAGGTGTTGAGGTCTCCAGCAGGAGGCCTCCAGACCTATTCCAAATGTCACACACGTTTATAAGCAGAGAGGATTTCTTTGTTACCTTGGAGCTGTGATATACTCTGCATCCACCCCTCCATAGCTGAGTGTGTGAATAGCTCAGTGTAGCATTGCTATATTCCAAATAAAGATGGAGTGATGGAGTCTAAAGTCAAATTGAGTTCTTGGGAAGCTGAATAGAAAGAGGTCTCAGAGGTAATCCCAACAGTGCTGTCATCTTCTTCACTTCTATGTTCCTTTGTACCTGTATACCAGATTTGTGTGTTCTCCATCCACAGAAGCAAATGGCTTTATAGCACTTTTTTAGCTATTGTACAGAAAGAGAGTAGTGAATGTTTGAACTTCCATCTGGAGAAACTGAAATCTGGGAACCAGCTGAATATATGAAAGCTTTATTTTTT